CTGAATCTCTCGGTTTTGATGTTTCCAGGCAACTGAATGTGCTGCACCAGGCCGCCTCCTGTTTCAGTCGCTACGATATTCGAGATATCGCGATATATATATATATATATATAATGCACAACAAATGAGTGTATTTTGCTACCTTTATACCCTGTTCAGTCCTAGAGTGAGGGAGGTTGACTCTAAACTCCAAAACTTTCACTCAGTAAGGAATAGGGGATGGATCCACTTCATCCCATTACTTGCCACCTTCATGCGCTTGGTGCACCATACGCAACAGTTCAGTAAAGGATTCACCAAGCTGCCTTACATGTTTTGTGCTAGAAGCGAGTGAATAGCGCTGTTCTCCTTCAGCCCTCATAAGTGGCTTGTTTGACAGGGTCAGGGATACTAAACCAACTAGGCATTGGTTGCTCTACTTGTTTAACGCGACAGTCACTACAAGAAAGCAATTAGGCTAGCTTTGCAAGGGTGTCAGCTATTAGAACAGCATGAGTGGCGCTGGGTCAAGGTATTGGCTTCGCACTCCACCGAGCCCATCGGTTAGTTCGAAATTTCCCAATCGGTATTGACGTGCGGGATTCATACTGCGCTCAATCCCCTCCCGACTTAGTGCGACATCGAACTTGATGTTGCCCCACCTAACCAATTTGAGCTGGACCCATCGTTAAAACACCCCAGCCATGGCACCCACGCTGGCTCGTGAAAAACCCCACCTTTAGGAATCATTGACGGTATATGAGAAACGCAACACTAGAGTGTTTGGGATCTGTGACGTTCAGTTTGGCAACCGAAGAGCATACGACGCAATCACAACTGTGTGAGCACCAGTGAATACATTCAGACTGAACAGGACACGACTTCAAAGTACCTCACATATCGAATCGAGTGATCCGGTATTCAATGGCCCCTTCGGTAATGAGTATCCGGCACAGTACTCACGCACATCTTTTTTTCTTTCTGAGCAGATCATTTATTCCCCAAATATGTTGTTGTTGTGTTCACACCATGTTTTTAAGACGGGAAAATATACGTGTTCACCCTGAAGCTGCAAGTTACCCGAGAATATGCGTGATACTTAGCTAAGCCAAATCATACTATGAAGGACCCTCCACGACCTTCCACAAGATCTACTGTTGTAAGCTTGGGCGAGTAAACAAAGACCGGCTTTCAGCCATATAGTGTATTGACCAAAGTGGTATTCATCCGAGCCACAACTGGTACTAGAATACCAACCGCACATGAGTGTGACATTATGGACACGTCTTAGTCACTTGTCCTTCTGCTTGCGGGACAACTGTTTATTATGACTGATTGATTGAGTTTCTCGTTGTTCAACTATTCAGAGTGTTGTTCGCTTTATTTGCGATTCCCGTCAACTCAAATCCAGTGCGTCAGTTAGCGCGCTTCTCAACACAAATGCTAATCATATGGACACCCTCGCCTGTCAGCTTCGACTTAAAACCCCGCTATACCGGCTTTTCCATGCTATTCTGTTTTCGACAAACAAAGGTTACTTTACCAAAACGAGTTTTTTTATCCTCTAACTCCAACTGGAATTACTCTAAAGGTCACGTTCTATGTCACGCGACAGTTCATTGAGGCAAGACGGTGAAATGAGCTTGCTTCGAAAAGAGATTCGCAGTAAAGGTCGTTTGTGTGATAGTTAAATCTACTGGAGTGTTGTATCGTTAATTATGATAGCTCTCAACCATGGCGGAAACCCTCGATAAGTGGAGTTTCGTGCCCGAGTTGCGAACCTGAATCCGACAATTCTGTCTGAGATGTTGGATGACTGCTTCTATGTAGATGGTTCAAAGAGCTGTCTGTCCTGTTCAGACCAACGGCACAATTTTCGGTTGATTTTCGGACTGAATGATCATATTCACGTTCTGTCCATGAATGAGGATTCATTTCCTGTCAGAGTACCGACGACTCGTCTTTGAGTCTGATTAAATCCTCGGTGACTTGGAAACTTTAGAGTCCAAACACCAAGTTCGGGATTTGACCTGAAATTAATGGAAGGGGAATATTAAACCTTCCTTCTGTGTGGTGTCACTGGTAATAATCACTTTTGTCATACTCAATTCACCTCAAGCTTATCGCATTGTGCAATGGACGTAGAGTCAAGGGACCGCCGATCCGGTTTAAATTCAACAGGATGGTGAAACTGCAAGGTACGCCAGCAAATTTCGACTAAAACGTTCAAAGACCGGTACAATCCACCTCCAGTCACTAGCTTTTTGGCGGATCCTGATGACTTTTGTGGGTTCCTCCAACAGAAGTGATCATTTTCGTAGGAAAAACGAACGAATTTGTAAAACGTGATCCCAATCCATGACAAGTCAAACGAGCATCGTGACAAAATGTAGTTATTGAACTAAAAACGATACACTGCCGACGCCCGTTTTCCAGTGAGTGTTTCACCGATTTTCTGTTTGTACTAATTCTGTTCTTGCTGTTCAGTCGCTGCGCATTGACAAATGCCCAGGACCTGTTTCAGCGTCGTTTTAGTTGAACGGCCTGAAGACACTATTTCAAGAGACGATAAAGCTTTAAAGCACACCAGTGGCGCTCAAATGTTCCTTGCAAATTGATGTTCCAGATAGCAGGCCATGTACTTCATTTAGCAGTCGTATGTGTGTGACTAACCTGCGGAGGGAACGCATTGTGTCTGGTTTTTGCTCAAGGCCAGTCGCGTGCGCGCGTGTGTTTACGTGTGCTTAGACTGTCTGACAATCACACAGGACAAATCGTGTGTCCCAGTTTCACAGGTTGACCGTAGAACGATGCGCTGGGACTGAGCTTCAGGGACGACAGAGGCAGAAGCTAAGCCAAATATTGATCGACAGACTACCTTGCATGGCACCGATTGGTCCGAACAGAAATGCACGCAGGTTGCATTGATTGGGATATAACGCTGGTAGACACGGAGTCGCCTTACTTTGGCAAAATTACCGATTTTGTTTAACATGCTATTGCCAAGCTCAAAAATCTTGCACTATTATAGGATTCGGTGATAGCGCAGAGTCGATCTAACAGAGAAGAGGGGTCGCAATTCTGAATGTCACAGAAGTTGGAAAAAGTGTGAAGCCGATTGAGAAGTCATCGTTTCAGAAGGGTTTGGTAAACAGAAAAAAAACTACCGACTGTTCACCAAGCCCCTCTGAAACGGTCACAGAAGTCTGTTCAAAGTAATTCGAGTCTGCACAAAATACCTCACCCAATCCCAGTTGCTCGCACCGATAGTGATGAGGAGCTCCCGGAAAACCTGACGTTTTCATCGCAGTTCTTCATACGGTAGAAAGAATGTATTGGAATGAACCTAGGGGGATGTGAATTATCTGGAGACGAATCCAGTGAGACTGAATGATGGGTAATCCACAATGAGTGGTGCTTCGTAGCACCCAACGGCCAACAAAAGGCCATTTTTGTGGAGAATGTCTTGACGAGCAGTGAGTTTAGGTGCTACGAGGCACCACCCATTGTGGATTACCCATCATTCACAGTCTCACTGGATTCGCGCTCTCGTACTCGGTTGTACGGAATAAAGCTGTTGTGTTCTCTTCGGTGAGTCTTTTTCCGGCACTGGGCAGTGAAGCGGGGTCAGCAGTCAGATACAACAGATTGGCGAATCAGCGGATATAACATTATATTACCTTATATATGGCATAATTATTATGCTGTCATAATAACCACGTTTTTCGAGGTCGTACATTACTTTCTTCCCTACAAACAAGTAATACTGTGGGTGTGTTTTAGGCTAATTTGCTCTTCTATCCAAATTGGTTTGAATCGGACAGAGCCACATATACAAAATGGCACCATTGCGTGTGAAATCAAACGCTTAGCACAGTACTTTTTGGTTAGTAGAACTGTACCTTGTCTGTCAGAAGTAAATCAGTCATTCTCGTGAACAGAAATTGTCTCCTATTTGTATCTAAAAGGGAATAGGGAATGGGAGAAAATCTGTGCCGCCAAGTAGGCGATGGAGCTGTTATACTCTGTCGAAGCCCATAGTAACCAGACTTGGAACTGATGTGAATTCCACAAGATCATCTGATGAGGATAGATTGATTAGACAAGGTTATGACCATTCGAAAGAAAATCCCAATGGTATCTGACCCCAGGTAAACAGATCCACATTTGCGCTTCCAAACGGAGGAGTTATCCGTTGTATAGCTTCCTTTTAGCAACCAATATCTCGAGTATTTCTCTCAGAGTGATACTTCCCACGGTTTTTCAGCCAGTACCGTCACAGGTTTGCATTAACTTCTCGTCACTAATTGATTTCTTAGCCTTTTACATTTCGATATGACGCTGAAAATGCCGATTTTTGACCACCATCGAGTATGGTCAGACAGAAGGTAGTCGAGAGGTTGGTTGCAAGGTCAACTTATGATCACCGTATGAATTAATTCAGTATATTTTCTGAGGTAACATACACAGTGAAGTTCCTTACTGGTCGTAGCTGGGAATCAGAAATCACTCCCATGATCTCGTACTCCTGGTTACCTAGGTCACCGCTCTGTTGGGGTTGTATGTGAAGCGGATAATAGGTACCCACGGAAAACGTGTACTTATGGTGATGAGACAGTCAACTGGGTAGACAGGAAAGCCGTTAAACAGTTAAATCAAACTCTCAGCAAGCATTCCTACTTATATGATGTAATGGCTTTATAAACCATGAACAGAAACAGATTGTTGGTTATTCCACTGTGATTGTTAGAAGCCGTTTTCTTGTCTATAAACTAGTTCGGACCTTGATTAGTACAGAGAACGAAATCGCTTCGACTTCGCCTCACATGTACTTAGCTCCCAGCACAATTAATTACACTCCTTGTTATTGTGTAATGAATGAATAATTTACTCCAGTGATTAGCTGACGTTTCGGGAAGTGCATAAGGCACAACACTGAAAGTTCAGGAAATTCAAACCCACGGAACAAAGTGCGTAAGTTGGAGGGAGAGAGAGGGCTCAGTTCGTCACTTTGCTGTGAAATATTTGTACTGGCAGCATACTGAATAAATCACACACTCTGTTGCCTCTGAATGCCTAGTGTTTACTCCAGAATCTGTGGCAATGCACTGAAAATAACTTCCATGCCAGAGGGCTGAAAACCGATTCTCACCCTAAGAGGAAGAGAAGAAAAACGGTGTGACGAGACAAATGTTCTTCTTCAAGTCATCGGATATCAGGACCAACTGTTAAATCACCTTGAGAAAATCATTAAACAGTAGTTTTGAACTTTTCCGGTGAAGGTCGAGCGGTATTTGCGAAAAATATTCAGCTGTTTACATTGATAGTTACTACTACGCCATGCGAACTAACAAACCAGTCAATACGGCATACCAAGTTAACAAACGGACTTAACGATCCGTAGCCATGGTTGTGCGCCCCACAATACGTGGCACAACTTGGAGACACAGTTGGTCTCATATGTGGTTCTCAAAATGTAAACTGTGTTAACCTAGAATCGGTGGTGTGGATTGACCTCGAGATTTGTCACCGTCTAGCCGTGTCTTGTGTGCCAAGCAAGCGGAAACGACCGAAACACGGTGCATAACGCCTCGTCTCGATAACAACGTCGAAATGACGGAGGTGGCTGTCATTAGCGGAGAAAAATGTTTCACAACGGATCCTTACTCAGGGTTTCATTTCCAACCATGTGTGGTCTGCAAATTTCTTAATGTATTTAAACAAGTAGGGCATTCAGTTTGATCGAAACTGCGACGTTGAGCTGTGAGTAGCTTATTAAAACAATGTGGTTGAAAACATTTTTAATTAAGACCCTACTCTGATCACTGTTCAGACAACAATTACTCACAGCGATTAGTCGCGGAATCTCAACTTTTCTCATGGCTAGGATTGCAGTTCTCCATCGATCATTTCCTATCGAACTAACAAACCGGTCCTATAATCTGAGGAAATGGGTTCTTTCTTGTCGAATCTTTATTCTACAGGTGGGTACTTGATACTACACAGATAATGCATATCGGTGAAGTGGCACGTACGTAACACATTTCTACGTAGCCTCATCTATCACCCGTGTATATATATATTTATCAAAAGCTAGAAAGGTTAACTGGAAAATCCCGGTATTTCGCCCCTTCGCAGTATGCATTGTCATGACCAGAAATTTCAACCGATATTTAGTTATTTTACTACTGAGTAAGTCATGAGACAGATGGGTCTCTTAGGCGATTTCTCTGATCCAATACGGTAACATTCTAAGGGTGGGTATTAGAGCTGATTAACAGGCATGGTTAAATAATTATTTTTTACCTTAACACCCTTACGCTTTGTACGATCTGACTACTCACCGACATGTTAAACATTTGTCATAGATTAATTGACAGTGGTTACTCAAAACTGGCCTTGCATCCGCTTATTCATGACCTATTCACATATCAGTATGCAGTACAGTTCTGGCCGTTGTCTGTGGGGACATTGAATTCTCAAAAGCGACATTTGACCAACCATCTTTTCGGGAGTAAGTTTTTTCGACTGGGATTGCTTTATTGGGTTTCGCGCGGTACTGACGGAAGCAGCTACCGCGTTTCCCCTGTCTCGTTAGCCGTCGAAACAGAATGATGAGCAAGGGTTTTCTAGTCCAGAGAATTTGGTAACATGGTTAAACTCATTCAGCGATATGGTAGCCCCAAGTCCCAACTCGTTTGGTGTTAGTCCCAAGAAGAAATGGTCCGAAATTTTCAAATTTTTTTGCCTTGAACCGAAATCAAACGTCGTACTGCGTTTTCCGTATCCACCAGAGTTCTGCGAAGAAGTTTCTGAAACAAATGTGAAACTTAGTACAGCTCTCTCAAGTAAACCAGCAACGGGTGATTTGTCAGATTGCACTATCCAATTGCTCTATCGATGCACACGAAGTAGGAATTTTTAAACATAGCTCAAAGTCATAAGGGAAACTACTCACAAGGTTGCTGAAAACTCTTCGACAGCCCACGACCGGTTTCGTCCTTCTTGGGGCTCATCAGATAAGCACAGTCCCCGAGTTTCCGTCAACTTTATGTTCTACTTGAACCCAAATTGGACTGTTTTCGAGAAGTACACTCATTTGCAAATTAATTCGGAGACTGCCCCTACCTGATGAGCCCCGAGAAGGGTAAAACCGGTCGTGAGCTGTCGAAGAGTTTTCAGCAACATTGTGATTAGTTTCTTTTATGAAAATATACTGCGCTATCTCGAATGTCGTGCCAACTGAATCATGAGGCGGCCTGTGTGCAGCAAATTCAGTTGTAAAATATCACAAACGAATAATTCAGTTGAGTCTCTCGTGAAAGCCAAATTGATTTGCAAATGAGTGTATTACTCGATAGCTCAAATTCCCCTGTTGTGAAGACCGGTAGTTTGGTTCTGTGGACCGAATATCCAGATCTGTTTGATGAATCCCATTGAGAACGAGAGATATCGCTTTGTTGAGCTTTTGAGGATTAAGCCACATTTTCATCTACGGCGAAAAGTTGTAGTTCTGTAGACAATATTATATACCTTATGACAAATCTATAGGACCATCCATGCTATTCATCAGATTTCCAAAAACAGTTAAATTGGTGACAGAAGTGTTGGTCATTAGACAGCGGACATGGTCAGAAAGCAGATTTATTAACCTACGACCTGTATAAGAAAACTGGAGAAAGAATGCTAC